GGCCTGGGTAAGTCTAGTAATTGGTGAGAAACGTCGCTTGTGTAGATTCTGTGTGTATTTTCCATTCGTGAACCCCATTTTTTGTGGAGTGAGCCCTGCTATCTATCTCGAGGTGGTATCTTAGCTATTACGTGTTCATGTCTGATAATGCCTGAAACTGCCTCAAATCCAAAATTAACCAAAATAGATAATAAGTAAGTACTTTTTAAATCACCATGTGTATAGAAACACGCAATTCTGGCTTCTATGTGTCTTGATGGATGAATTATAAAAAAACTTTCAAAACCATTACCAGAATTACTTGACATTTATCGTCATTGGTAACATTACATACCACTTTTCGTTCAGTGGATAATCTATCAGGAATGTTTGTCAATTTTTCACCATCTTAGTCTTACCATGAATGTCGTCGTAAACAACCACCATAGACTGCCAGCCGTACCCTTGCACAACCTCAGCCAGGGCGGTAGCCAGCATGGCATCCCCAGGGTACAGACTCACCCCCGCCGGGAGAGTCGGAGGGACCCCCGGGGACACGTACAGCCGGGGCACCCCGGGGGTGGGGCTCGCCTCTAGGTCTACCGGCTCACGGTGCCCGTCTAAGACGATGATAGCTGTCGCGTTCGTACCGTCCAACTCTTGTTCTGGAGAAGTTCAAAAGGCTCCGCCCAGAGGCGTCGCCAAAACCGAAGTTAACTATGCAGAACAAGTCAACATCACCATCCAATGCAATTTTAGGGTGACAAAACTGGTTTTCAAAGGCATTTTTCTGGTCATTCTTTTAGGTAAGTTGAAACAATCCTACTCATAGTATATTGATATATGTGAAGCACGAAATGCTATGTCACTGGCAGAAAACGTTTGCTTGTTTCATATTGTCGGCTGGTTCTAGCTATTTATGGCTTGTTTTGGGGCGATGTCAAATGCTTGAAGTATGAAGTAATTACGAAATAGGCTAAGAAATGGCAGTAAATGTCAATATCAGACAGATTTCCTCATCTAGAATATGTTGCCGCCCTGAAATTGCATTGGACTGCATATAGCACTGTTTTACGCATAGTTTACTTGCGGATACAGACTTTAAAAATTCAACAGAGGGAATGAAATGATACAAACGGATAATAAGAAAAATACATGTATCTAAGATCAGTTGCACTTTTTGGTTAACCCCTAACCCAAGCCGTGCGCGAAGTACATATGCATGTGGCAGCAAAGGAAAATTTAAGCTCACTTGTGAGGATCAGCTCGGTCAAGTCTTCAGACGGAAGGAGAACGTGTTCCGCCGTCAGCAGGTGGTCCGGGAGAATGTCTCCTCCAGAGTTGACCTGCTCAACAGCGCCATCTATCAGGTCCTTGTAGGACGACAGGGCCGGGCTGTATATCACCCCTGAATAACATTGTCACAGTGATAAATTTAGCTGTATCCATGTATCCAGAAATTCCAGATTCAATCACGCAGGTTAGGCTAGCTCTAGTAGTTCTTTTGTAAATTTGCCGCTTGAGTCACCCCCCCCCCAAAAAAAACATATTATTGTCGTCAAGCTTAAGAGAATTCAATTATTTGCTTGTTTTTGACAAGAACTGAGCGAACGTGGACGAATTGTATTTTGAATCGGAAAGTCGTTATCAAAAGATCCAAGCTCCCACGGGCATTGCAGAGTCCTTAAGATGATTATCTCAGTAAATTATATATTGGGACTTCAATGGGAGATCTGTTAGACTGTACTTTAATCCCCATGGAGACTACTGATTTATGATTAGGCTAGATTCTATCAGGTAGTGTTACAGCAAATAGAGCGCTTCGTACCACTCACTGTGTAACCATATACTAGTAATTAAAGTTTACGCTTTTTAAAAACAGATTAAATAATACTACAATGTATTAAGATAGATGAACACAATGAACAATGGATCTAAACACTCTTTAATACCTTTAACGCTACAAAACTCATATTTGTATCATTTTGCATTTACTATTCGTTCTGTACAACCCATTGTGAATGATAATAACGTTTAAATGAATGTAAAAAACGTGTAATCATGTATAAGGGAAATTCCGTTAGGTTTTCAACTTTGGACATAGGATCTTATAAGACATGTGCATGTGCATTAAATGAAGAAAAAATTGATGCGAAAGGTACTCTTTAAAAACGTTTGTGAATAGGCAAATAATAAGAAAATCTCAACGAACTGCAATATTTTAACTTATTAATTTTTATTGTTCAGTTTATTGCCATGTTGAGTGGTCAGTCTGGTACGACGTCTCCTTGTTGGCATCTTGAAAAGCGGATAGTTACATGTACGTATACGTGTTTTAGTCAATCCTTTCACAAACGTGTGAAATCTCACATGAATCTCAAATGTGGGAAATCTCAAATGCATGCATCGCAAATGTAGGAAATCTCAAATACATGAATCTCAAATGTGGGAAATCTCAAATACATGAATCTCAAATGTTTGAAATCTCAAATACATGAATCTCAAATGTGTGAAATCTCAAATACATGAATCTCAAATGTGGGAAATCTCAAATACATGAATCTCAAATGTGGGAAATCTCAAATACATGAATCTCAAATGTGAGAAATCTCAAATACATGAATCTCAAATGTGGGAAATCTCAAATACAGGAATCTCAAATGTGGGAAATCTGAAATAAAATAATCGCCAATGTGGTAAATCTGAAATAAAGAAATCTCAAATGTGGGAAATCTCAGATACAGGAATCTCACATGTAGGAAACCTCTAGCTTTGAATTATGGTGATATTTCCTCTGTTACATTAATATGCAGCTGACCACCATGAAATTAGAGAAGAATAATATTCTGTCAGTACCATTATTCAGGTACTACAGAACTTTGGCACATAAAAGAATCTGTGGCTATCCTAAATTTACAACAAATGCGATTGTCTGGCTGTTAATAGACACATGATCAAATTCACCACCACATTACCATCAAGCACGAACCTTCTCGCTTACCCCACATTACGCAATCAATTGTAATCGTTTTTCAAAGGAATTTACACAATAATCCTGCAAATTCATAAAAGTTCTATCTGATATTGAGGGACAGTAGTCGATTTTAGTAATAGTATGCATGCCTCGAAGCTCGGGGATGAGTTTTGTCTTTTACTTAGTCACCACCTAGTCCATGTAGATATTTTGGTTTTGGTGGCTACAAGACAGTATCACTTTTCCGGACAAACAGATACACAAACCCACATTTGTGAAGTGCACACTACTAAAGTTTTTGCCGCGTCGAAGTGCAGTCACTTTGGGGTCCTTGACTATAGAAAACTGTGTTCTGGTACCTTGATGGACCAAGGTACAAGGTATTCGTTCTTTGTCATTATGTTTTTGTACTTCGGTTTCTAACAACGCTCAATTAAAAAAAATCAAACAATCAAAAGGATAGAAATGAGCCGTATGTACAATGGACTCACATAATATAATATACAGCATGAAAGTTTAGACTGATTCAACAGAATGCATATTTCGTCTCAGACCCTATTTTGGAAACGTGTCGGTAATTAAACCTACTACTGAACCAGCACAAACTTTCGTTCCTTTCAACTTGTCATCTTAAGTACTCTAGTTCGATGGAAAAATATCCAGTAGGAATGTCATGAAAAAAAGCATTTAGATGGCCTTTACAAGATGGCGAGATCAAAACGAATGATTGGTGCTCGTTGTTTATAATCGCGCCACGCCCACCCACTCCTACCTACCCCGGCCCAAACTGTGTTGTTTCAGAGCTTTCAGCCTTTAGTCATTATAATCGTATTCTCATGTCAAAGACACAGCCGATACAAATATCCATTAGATCAAGGACGTTTTTGCTTTGTTAAAGACACAATCTCCGTTAATATTTAAACTGTAATATTAAGCTTGTAATGTTTTAGACCTACATTTAGATGGAGGGTCATACATATGAAATACACATGAAATATCAAACATATCTAAAGGCAAATACAAATGGGATTTTGACTAAACATTGAACCGAATAAACCGTTTCTTACTAGATAAACCTCCTGGACAGTTGTTTTATATTTACTCGGCCAGTGTCCTATGTTTTAGCCATGTTCCCACGACCCCGACGTTTTCTTTTGTATATCCTGGCGCTTGTCTGTATTCAAGTCTCGGCCCTGCTGGCCGTCCAATGCTACAAGTAATTTGCCAGCTGTCTTACCGATCTTGAAGACAGCGCCTTCAACGGGCGACGCTAGAAGTAGGATGACACACAACGGTAACATCTTCACCGCCGACGGCAAGAAGAAAGAAATTCGTCTTCTGTGACCGGTGGCTGACGGGAACAAAAGTCTTCAGTGTCCGTCAGGCATACAATGTAGTCGCCCCTGGTGTCAAGCGTTCATTTGAATAACGCGACATCTGGCGGCAGCACGAGAATTGCAGAAACAGGGCGGCGGTTTTCAAGGACGAGCTACGCAGTGCGCTAAGTACGTACATGTATGTATAGGTTGATTTTTTATAAAACAGGATTTTAGGAATATGATTTTGGTTGGGGAAAAATACTAATTAATCAATTCAAAAACATATTGCTGGGCTGGCAAGGAGAATGATAATATACAATATGAGTTCCACGATATCATACCTTCGCCACATAATGTAAAGCTTTACGACTAACGAATTGTAAAATTTATTATGCGAACAACATCTCATTTACATGAATTATATCAGTTAGACATATTCTACCCCCAATGACAATCTTATCTTTACAAAGAAGGTTTTCTAGCATCTCCTAATAATGTGGTCCTTATTTGAATAAGACATGTTTTAATGATGTTCACCTTCCCTAACTTTCAAATAAGACAAGTATGAAATTTTCGGCAGTTACCACTATGAAATTATAGCATTTCCTTATCAATTATGCAAATTATGTCGTCATTTACATAATCGATATCTGCCGATGTGACTTAATTATATGATACATTCAGCTCAAATGATCCACTAGCTTGCCCTGTGTTTTTTGCAGAGCGTTTCAGTTTTCATCCTCTTGCAGAGCTGGGTTAGGTGAAAAATTCAACTCCTCCAGTAGATTTTGATGCCTTTCCTCTTGTCGATGCTTCCACCAAGTGTAGATACTCAGTACCACGGTGCCGAGTACCACCAGAGACAACCCCACCCACTTCAGCAGTCCCGGTACCTTCGTCAGGAACAGGTAGTCCAGGAGGATGGTGATTGGTACAACCAGCGTTCCCATGGCAACAGCGATGGCTGCCTTTTCCACGTCCAGTACTCCCAGAAGGGTTAGCGTGGCCAGGGCCTGGGTTAGACCCAACCCTGCGACGAACCCTGCCGTTTGTGCCGACATGGTCCACACAGGAGTTTCTAGTGAATAAGTCAGTATGAACTGCGCTACTGTCCCTAACGCTGACAGGTACAGCATGATTGTAATGCCTGACAGGTCCTTCAGAACAGCACGGAACAGCACCATTCCCGGCGCCCTGGTCAGGGCAGCAGACAGAGGCAGGAGAATGGATATGGCGAGATTTTGGGTGGAGTCTGAACCCTCGTGTCCCATCCCGATACCGACTAGAACCACGCCTATCACGCTGATGAGAATCCCGCAACACGGGACAAGAGTCACGGTCTCCTTTAACAAAATGAAGCCGAAACACGCTGTAAAAAGCGGCGCGCTTCCCTGGATTATTCCAATCTCGATTCCAGGGGAGGAGTAGGTAAAGGATAAGTACATCAGTGTGCTAGACACTACGTTTATGACCGTCATTAGAATCAGTTTGCCGTTCTGTCGCAGATTTTCGCCCACCAGCCTGGGACAGACGCACGGAATGAACACGATGACGGTCAGAAACTGCGTGACACTCAGTAAAAATAGCAGTTGGAAACCCGGTATTCCTCCTTTGTGACTGAGTGTCATGAATTCAGCTGACAGAGCCATGAGAATCGTTGATAACAGGTTAAGCAGTGGTCCTTTTGCCGCCTTCAAGTCCTGACTGACCGCGGCCATCTCTCAACACTAAAGGAAAGTCTTGATATAGTAAAAGACACCAAACTATGAAGCCAGCGTTGTCATCTCACGCTCAGTTATCCCTGAAAAGAGAAATGTCTGTTGTGAGATTGTGTTAAACTTTTCTTTTTGCTGTTGATATGGTTCCAGAGATACTATAACTCCCTTTCAGGGTTTAGGGGACGTGATTTGCGCTCCCATAATATTTGTTGTACAGTTTTATCTGTCTCTGGCATACTCGTTAATGTTTATCATAACTCATGTTTATTAAGTCCATCATCATCACATGCGTGTGTGCGTCTCTCTTATGTTTGTTAGTTTGTACCCTAGTTTCCCCTTCTTATGCCCTGTAGTTACTAGTAAATGTTTTAGTGGTGGCGCTAATTTAACTTTGTTTACTTCGAGTTGCTCCACCAGTGGTTTTTATTTGGGTCACAGAAAAAAACATAGTGGTGGTCCACCACTATGTTTTTTTCTGTGACCCAAATAAAAACGTATATCTAGATGCATATCTAGAAAAACTTATAACCAGACCCGGTCCACTGAATTAGAAGATGTTAGTGATGATATATAGGAGAGTCCGGTAACACTGTTGTGTTTTGGTGCCCTTGAAGCGTCCTCCGATTTTATCACTGTTTAATCGACCTGAGCATTGAACCGAACTTTTTTGCCTGAGGGGATACAGACTGTGATAGGTGCAGACAACGCTCATAATTCTTCTGATAATCTGGTAATAACAAACGTTATATATTAACTTACAGCGTACAATACTCTTTTCAGAAGTATCCCAAGCTCACACAAGACTGTACTAAACAGCCGAACCTTCTGGTGGATTTAATGTATGTCTTTAACGAAGTAATTGCGGTAGGGCGTGCCCTAAATGCTCTGAAAAAAAAAACAGACGGTGTGGAACATTCTATAGCACGTTTGCCTGAGGATTCATGTTTAGTCCTACGTATTTTCGAGTCACACAGTGCTTGTAAAGGTGACGTTGGCGGTAAAATACCAAAACAACTCTAAATGGTACTGTACTCTCACAAGTATGAACACATCAGGGTAATCTATGTCATATGAGATATCACTCTGCCTGGTAGCCGCCATTATGCCATAGGCCCTTGTGTCAATACCTCGAGGTTTTATAGAAATACAAGAAGTAATGCAAGTCATACCCTCTCCCCCAATTACGAGAGTGTGTATGGGAATACTTACCTTTTCAGTATGAACAATAAGCAGTCGACGTACGTCTATTTTACATTGGCGAAACTTGTTTAAAAAGTTGTCCAACTCGCCTAACCGCGGTTGAGCGGTGACCTCGCCAGGGGTACTCTCCCCGCCTTCTCGTCCTTCCGTATGATATTAGCAAATGACAGAGCATGATACAATGTACTATTCCAATCTGATTCATGAAAGGCCCCTTGTTGCCATGAAATCGTTTGTGTGTGTGTGTGTGTGTGTGTGTGTGTGTGTGTGTGTGTGTGTGTGTGTGTGTGTGTGTGTGTGTGTGTGTGTGTGTGTGTGTGTGCACAGACTTACCAGGGCGTATATAATTAGGTCACTAGAAAAAAATATTATGGAAACGGTAATATAAAAAGCAGAGAAAGTCTCAGCACTGGAAGTCCAAAGCTGACGACCACTTCCTCACTGGTGGTCCAGTGCCGAGAAAGGAGCATTTCCCCCCATAAAAATCATTTCCAACTTGACCCTCGTTTCCCAACGGTAACCTGCCTACTAAAATCATGAACATCCATCCATGGCATCAGCAGTTATGCCGCATAATACCTATAACCTTCTGGCGAAGGTGAACATGCCGCTAGGGTATGTTGGGTGGCAACTAGAAGCTGGCATTATGACTCTTTATTGACTCAAAAAAAGTACAGGGACTTTAGTATGGTCTACAACACAACGTACTACTAAGATTGAACAAAGCTAAATACATGTATATGTATGGATAAAGTATCCCACTTTCAGAGTACTAGTATATGTATGCGGTAAACTACGTACAAAATGTATGTCAGTGGCAACATTAGATGTTTAACTATTGTCTAGCATGCAGTCTCTAAGATTTAAACACTTTTTAGTGTTTTCCCTATCTTCACACTGTATGGATTATCTCCTCTTAAAATGTATTGGAATTTTATTGATATGATAACTGTTGAAATCAGCTGCACAATCGGACAGAAAACTGCATAACCTTCTGGCGAAGGTAAACATGCCCTAAGGCTTAAGATATGTTGGGTGACAACAACTAGGGAACCGTGTCGTTATCTGGGTGACACGCGGTTTACAGACGTACTCTCAGTCGATCGGACATGGAGCGTTGGAGCGGCCGTGTAGCGCTGGTGACCGGCGCGTCTGTGGGGATCGGGAACGCCACAGCTCGTGCACTGGTCCAGCACGGCATGAAGGTGGTGGGGTGTGCGCGGGACGTCGACAAAATACGGGTATGTGTCATGAGGTGGAACCGTAGTGTTAAATGTTGGATGATCTTGGATACACTGCACGTAACAGTGTGTAGATTAACATTTAACGACTAGATTTGTTGCCCACTAGCTGGCTACCACTGTTTGTATATAGTAATTATGTAGATGCTGGTAAAAATTACAGTTTTGTTTCGTAACACATGTACATGTACAAAGAAGAGTTCGGACCAGTCCATTTTAGAAGTCTGTCACATATACCCTGTAGTTTAAGAAATGGGGGGACCCGACGTGGGATCTAGAATTCGTAATTTGGGAACTAATAAGCATAATAAAAAAGCATAACTATGCCCCAGAGTCACATGCATATGAAGCTAACGACTGAACGTGACTGTATTAATTGTACAACGCATTTAAGCAACGGAAAACATGACATTTAAATCTTGTTACGAAAACTAGAAATGGCTGACCTGCGATTGGTATGTAAAAAGTGGTCTAAGAAAGATTAGTCCACTCGATTGCGGCTCGACCGGTCCTACCCCTTTAAAACGTCTGGCAGCTGACAGTTTTTAAAAAATCTATCCAGTTGCTTGAGTAACAGTTTTCCTGTCTACCTCATTACCCGTATGTCTGACCTTAATCGACGAAAATAAAAAAATGATTTGCAAATTGTAATGGATCTTTACATAGGAAGATAACACTTGCAAAGCAAATGCACAATTACCTTCATCGTACTACACTAGTACTGTTTATTCTTACTCAAAGTCAAATACAGTCATTGGTATGGTGACCAGCCCCTCCAACTCTGTTCTGCTACATAATGTAACCCAACACCACAGGGTGTTGCTACAGCCCCAGTTACCATGGCGACAGACGTCTGGTCCATGTAGGTGATTGACGTTATGTGTTTGGAAGGAAGGAAGAAGAAGAAGAAACTGAGCAAAAACAATATGTTTTCCTTCTGCTACGGTAAACATAACGACAAGTTTGCTCCCCTGAATATTTTCCACAGGAAACAGCAGCCGAGCTGCAGCAGGCAGGTGCTGTAGGACAGCTGTATCCTGTCAAATGTGACCTGACAGTGGAGGCTGAGATCAGAGCCATGTTTGACGACATCCAGTCCCAACATGGCGGCGTGGACGTCTGTATCAACAACGCCGGTGTGGCCACCAAGGACCGGATCCTGTCCGGGAGTATGGAGGCGTTCAGGATGATGACAGATGTGAGTTTTGTAGCCATCTTTTCAGCGGGAATACTGGTTCTTTGAAATGGCTGCATATTGTTTTTTTTTTAATCACATGGGCCCAAAGCTTTTAAAGGCATCAAATGCACTGATTTGAGGGAGACAAAACAATTTCTGGATGAGGAAAGCTGGCTGATATTGACATTTACTGCCATTTCTAAATCTAGTTTGGCCGCCCTTAAATTGCGTTGGATGCCTTGAATTGGTAAGGTACGAAATCTTTTGCATGCTTTAAACAGCAGTACATGTACACGACTAAGGCTGCAATTTTTGTCTGTTCCGCTAGGTGAACATACTGGCGCCCACCCTCTGTACCCAGCTGGCTGTACAGCAGATGAGGAAGAGAGGAGTGGACGATGGGCACATCATCACCTTAAACAGGTCTTGACTTACATGTGTATCCTTACTCCTTACACTGCGAGACACCAAATGAGAAGTTCTGGTTGTGTTCGATTCCATAGTCTATAAAACAACATGATTTTCCATCATGAAAGTCCGGACCTGTGTTGGTAGCTACATTCTTAAACTTAAAAGTTTAGTTCCAACAGAAAGAATAGTTCTCACCTCGAGCTTTTGACCTATAACTCTCACGGGTCTTCCTCAATAGACTGGCCCGGTGATCAGGCTTCACGGTCAGGCCATGTTGATTTGATTATATGGATGACATCCGCGCGCGCATGAATTTTCGGCCGTTTCCAAAAAAAAAAGTTTTCAACCATACTGTAAATCGTACAAAACAGTTGCAAAATGAGCAAAAAATATACCATAAGTTACAAAAAAAATTAATAAAAACTATACCAATGTCGTAGAATGCCAAAATCAAACGAAAAAAGACGAAAATGTAAAGAAATGAACTTGAAGACTAGATTATTCGCCAAACCATATTCTGTGTCATTTGTTCAACCCTCATGACCACGTAGATTTCACAATGAAAAGACCTTTTTTTTTTGCAAAACGTTTTTTTTTTATTCGCACGCGCGCATCAATTTTGGGGCTCCCGGAGGATGTCATCCATATAATGAAATCAACATGGCCTCAGGTGGCTTCTGGGAAGTGTGACGTCAACACTAGTCACGTGATTTTCTATGCGAATACAGTCATCAAGTTCAACATGATTTTCTGTGTTAATATTGTGTCATCAAGTTCAAATACTGTGCTGGCTGACATGATTATTTTTACTCCAGCATGTCTGGCCACCGTGTTGGTGGGCTTGCGTTCTATTCCATGACGAAGTTTGCCATCAAGGCTTTCAATGACGGTCTGAGGATGGAGTTGAAAGACATGAAATCACACATCAGAACTACGGTCAGTTTTTACAAAGTTACGTCAAACTCTGCTGCTTTCTTCAGAAAATTTTCTCAAATTAATAACTCAATGGGAAAGACTGCATAATCATGATAAAATGCTTCGCTTATAAGAGGTGCATGTACCCAAGATATTTTAATGAACAAATGTGGCAACTCCTATCCCTACATCTACATTTTACATAGTGTAGATTGTCTGAAACTCTGAACAGCAAAGCATCATTTCAGTTTTCCAATATCATCACTGTTGTATCCAGAACCAAGCTTTATCCAGAATCATGCTCATGTATAGTTCACGCATATAACGTTATATCCAACCAGATCTGTGATCAAGGCAAATCTACAGATACACAGAGGCTACTGGTATCCAGAATCATGCCTAACCCTGTATATAATGACAATTAATCTGTTCTCCAACTCAAGAAAATTGACTCACTGGAATTTTCAACCAAATCGCTTGGTCTTCATCTAAGCTTTATGAGTGAATCAATTTTCTTGAGTTGGAGAACAGTTTAATTCTTATCAATGTATTTTACCAACTCAGATGAACTTTGATGCTAGTATGCCTGACCCTAACCTTAACCCAATTCATATGGCTGGTATTCATATGTACAGTTCTGAATACAATAATCATAATTCGAGGTGTCCTCTTATGGGAATTGTTGTACATACTATATATTAGATCTTTGCCCCTTTGACCATCATCTCTTATACCGTTGTCGACAGTGCATCTCTCCCGGACGTGTAGAGACAGAGTTCATTCCTCGCATATATGAAGACGATCCACAGAAGGCTCAAGATCTACACGCCGCCATGGAAGTAAGTTTGCTGGAAGTATTGTTTTGGGTGGCTGACTTGTGGGTTTGTATGTGTCTATTTGTCCACGTGACAAAAGTTACATGGGAGATTGGGGGTTGGTTTGACAGTTAATTGAAAGGGAAGTCAAGCCAGAGGGTGACCCAGCATGTGTTGGGTGAGTGGGTGAGAGTATGTGGACGATATGCGGAGGAATTCAGGAAATGGTGTTAATACCTGATTTAATTACTTCATACAATTCCCTCTATAATCCCCCATAGGTCCAGTACATTCATGCAAACCCAAAACACTTTCCAGAGGTCTGTGAACTTCAAAGTCATCCCAAATTATCCCAGAAGTCTGAAAACTCTTATTAATTTTTTTTGTCATTTGTTTTGTTTTGTTTTAAGGCAGTTTTTTTCCATTATCACAGTAAAGTGAGTAGATAACAGCTTCAGACGGATGACCAAAAGTTTCAAGTATGAGAAGTGGGCAGTTGAGAATAAGAATTTACATGGATTATTGTTCAGATTTTTATAAATCTGGTGACAGACACAGGACAGTTGACAATAAGTTATGATGATCACATGATATACATATAGAATCTTAAATATTGCTCTGTATTGCTGTTGTTATTTTCAGTGTCTGCAAGCCAAGGACATTGCTGATACAGTCCTGTATGTTTTGGGTGCCCCACCACATGTGGAGGTAACGTATATTTACCTTCTACACACTTTTATATGTATTGCACTTGGCCATGCTAGGTCACAGCGTATCGTGCTCAGTATAGACGAAGATAACATGACTTGAACAGCGTGTTGTTTTATAGTCATAGAGTTCAAGCTTTGTTCCAACACAAGAAGGGAACTCACCATAAATTTTTGGTCGATCTCGTCAAATGTCAAATGCATGATGCACTTGCTGACTCTCCAGAAGTCAGAAGCGTGATGACGTAAGGAGTGCATCAAAAGTGGCAGGAAGACGAAATCTCCCACCGTCACAGTTCAGAGAGGGCTGATGGGCCCTGATGTAAACTGCCTCTTTCACTCCCCTCATGAAGTAATCCTGCTCCGTATCCAAAATGTGTACCATGTCGACCGAAAATTTATGGTGGGTTCCCTTCTTTGTGTAATGGAACAAAGCTAATAAACTCTATAACTATGGATCCTACCAACACAGATGAGCTTTCATTTGAATAGTATGTTGATTTGTAAGTTAGAGCTGTGAAGTTGAATTGTTTGATATACATGTATTTTTCAGGTTCATGAGGTGATGGTACGGCCGACAGAGCAGAAATACTAGGAACTGAAGTGACTCTGCTGTATGAATATGGTGGTAACTGCGCATGCTGATGAGCATTACATCTAGCTTTTGTTTAAAAAACACAATTAATTTTTATTAGCCCTTAGTTCAATATGGCTGCAACTAATAGGTGTGTGTTAATGTTCACTTCGCTTCTTCCTTTTCTCTTGCAGGTACTAAATGTTCCAAATCCACGCAGACCTGGCTTCTGCTGCATCTGCTGCTGCTGCTCTCGTTGAATGTTATGTATCGTGATGAGTGTATACAAACACGACACCAGCTTGAACAGCATGTTGTTCTGTACAAATGTATGTTAGAGCTGTGTAGTTGATTGTGTTGTTTTTATTTTCCAGGTCCATGATGTGCAGGTACGGCCGACAGAGCAGAAATAGCACTAGGAACTGAAGTGACTCTGCCGTATGAATATATCTGCTGAGCATTCCATGTCAACTAGTTCGTTAATTCAAATTTCAATCTATATTTAATCCCGAATGTCATTGTGGGAAAATGATAGTTTATATTACTACTAATTTGATGCAGGTTTCTCAGGCAATTTCTGTTATAGACAAACGACAAGGTTGGCTGTGCTATATGCAAAACAGGTGGTCGATAAACCCGAGAAATCTTGCTTTGACTGTGTAAACAGCTTATAATACAGGAAATAAAGTTTCCCACCAATATCTGTTTAAACTGGGTGTTTCAATAGATGTCAATGAACTACAAGAGTTTTATTCCGTACAAATGGTACGTTTTTAGAGGTATTGTTAACACATTATTGAAATGGCAAAAATATTGAAGAGTGAAGCTATTCAATAGTGAGAAGCTTTGTGAGACTGAAAAACAAGCAAGTGTATTCTGAAGCCATTGTTTTTCTACAGAAATCTAAGCTGGCAAGATATATGCCGGTCCGCCTCCCCTGAAACTTGATCCACCTGCTGTTGAAATCGCCATGGATCAAACGCGCCCCTAGGCGGTCATAAACAATCACTGCAGTAATAAGAGCGGCTCAGCCAACATTATGGTGCAGTCCTGCATTGAACTGCTAGAGGTCGCTTTTGAGCCATGAATTTCGATTTCGTAACTAATCAGCCGTAGATATCTTCAAAGCCTGGTATTCAGTCCTGTCGTGGGTTGGGCAGCATCTATTTGGGTTTCTAGACTAGGATTAATGTTGCAAAAGTACCTAAGTAACGGGTTCCTCCCTCAGTACTCGGTGTTCAGTACTGAAGGTGCCTTCCGAACTGAACTTCCAGTTCGGAAGTTCTGTCAGAACTGGGCGTCCAGATCTGAGGCGACTTCAGAACTGGAAAACTCTGAATCAGTTCTGGAAACCGAGAACTGAACGTTCTTTCCGTACTGGAAAACGCGGAGCGGCTTTGGCGTGAGTATAGCCCGGCTTACAAGCGCTGCCGGGCGGTAGTAAAGCCGGGCAAGCTGCCGGACGGCCGCCGCAACATAAGGCGAACACGGCTGCCGGAGGACAACGAGAATACCTACAGGAAGCGTCTACGGGAGACGAGAGAAACTGCCGGGCGGCTAACAACGAAGAGCGGGCTGTTGAAGATCGGCACATCGACCAGTTATAGACCAATACTAGTTTATACGTTGGTGATGTCAGCAAGGCTACTTCTACTACTGTATTGAGACATATCGTATTCAGTACTGGAACATCCCAGTACAAATTAGAACGTGAGAACAGGAAGCCCAGTTCGGAAATAATTAATGTTTTGTTTTATTTTGTACCCGGGAAAAGTATTTCGTATTTGATTTTCTGCGTGTGGATGGTGTTCAGCACCAAGGACAGACATGCTTGCCTGTGTGTGAAGGTGTTCATTCCACTGCGAAACGCAGCCCGGCGAAAATACCGATGAATGAAATTTACAGTAATAAGGAAATCGGACAAAATATTATATTTCATCGCGTGGTCGCGCAAACGTTATTCGTGAAAACGTTTATTTGTCAATAACAGGAATACTCATCAATTCACCCTGCAGCTCCATTCGTAAATAGATTACCGGTTTCACATTAATTAGACACGGCTGTTTTCCACACCTGTGTAAAAACACGTTGGTCCATTCAAAATGGCGGTCTCGCACGACAGGAACAGTGCAGGCTACTATTTCTCCCCACTTTTTGGGTACTTTCTTGAGTTTTTGTCCGTTGAATTTGTTCCTAAGTGTGCAGCAGACCGTTGGGGGAGTTTTCTCTGCGGATATGTGCCGTTATGGTGATGTTTTGAAGAGAAAATGTGGATTTCCTGACCTGGTGAATTTTGGACAAGACAACAAAATGGCGAGACAGTTGGAGTTGCGTGGTTTGGAGATGATTTCACTTACTGTTGCAGGTAAACCAACAAACTTGTTGGCTGACAATTTTACATTACTCCTTTGCAATTAGTAAAAACATGTCAAGTTATATTTTGTATAAAATTCCTAGTTTTGTAAGTTCCAAGCAGCCGTTCCTAACTTAAACAGGCTTTGAAAAATTCACATTTGATTTATTTTTGCCGCGTTTTCTTGAGCATTTTCCATGTGCGGCATTCTTGAAGAGTATTTTAATATTTAAAAATGTATGTGTGTGTCTTTTTTGTCAAATGTTAAACGTTTTGAGGTCATATTATTTGTAGAAAACTGACTTTTCTTTTTCTACACGTGGTTCGTTCGAAACATCTGTTGAAATTTAAAAATAACATTTCTTTTGTTCCCGCCGTAAACAAGGCCGGGTCCTCAAAGCTTCAAGGCGCTGAAATAAACACAAAATCTGGAAAGTTCAGTTAGGTCGACCTTACTTCTATTTTTCTGTACATGTATCATGCATAGGACACACCAATTTAATTTGTTGGTTATCGGATTGGCCTCTTCATTTTTTTCCGATTCGCAAAAAAAGAAAGATTCTGGTTCTGAATCAACTAAAATGCACATATTTTGCCCCCAACAGTTGACGAAAGTCCTTCCTACTTGTTTCCGTTTTTCCATCTATCAATGCAGTGGTTTGATGAAAAGTTCAAAATTCATTGTTTATAACCCAGCATTTTGTGTTGACTTCATGTCTCCTATTGTAGATTGTAGACCTGTTTCTATTTTTATTTTTTTTTCGGCCTGTCGCTTCATATTTTTTCTGAAGAAATCCAAGAAGCAACAAATTCAGCAAGAAAATTTTATATATGACATCCTCCGCAGACTCCAAATCTAATGCGAGAGGGCGAAAAAAACAAGACGGGCCCCCAAAAAACAAGATTCCTATATTTTCAAATGTTGGCATTATAAACCCAGGGTTAAACAAGAAATGATACCTATACTAGTATTGTGCTAAGTTTACTGCCAACTATCACAACATCCATTTTTCACTGACACTGAAACAACTTTGAAAAAGAAAAGTTTTCAATCATTGTACAAATGGTTTGGATTCAGTGGGAACATACGGAAAGGAATGAAATATATCACTGCATCAAAGTACTAGTAAAAGTCAAAAGAATAAATCAGAGCCTTGTCTTGTCTCCTCTCTCTGTGTTTATCTGCCATCCATGTTCCAGCATGGGAAGACATGCCATTTGACCCATTTTGGGCATGTTGACCACTGTCAAAGGGCAACAAAATTTCTTTTTTTTTCTCCAAAATCAGGCGAAAATCAATGCGCGCGCTGATGTCATCCATAAAAATTACTTGCAGTGGCCTAATTAAAAAAAAACTTTCCATTTTAGACTTACAAGCTTCAACAGTTGAATCATGTCACTGTGAAGTCTTCTGTATTGTAGGGAAGGGAGTCTAAGGGCCCTTTAAATCTTTCCTGGTAAGGTATGTCTCTAAGGGTTGATGGAAGTTTTGTTGCTCTTTTTTGTGCTTTCTGCATTCTCTGTTGGTCCTGTCTTGTACAGTAGTGGCACCATCTGCAGATCGAGGTGAAAAGTTCTCTTTACAATCCCCAACATCTGGTTGGCTTTTCTGGTTCCACTTGCTGTGTTAGCATGAAAGTTTAATTTATTGTCCACAATGACTCCCAAGTCCCTTTCCTCTTCTGTTTCTTGTATTTCTGAGCCCCCAAAGTGTACTTTGCCTTTATGTTGTTTCTTCCCAGGTGTGGTACTGTACATTTTCCTGCATTAAAGGGTAACTGCCACTTGTTGGACCAGCCCTCTACCACTTCCATGTCTTGTTGCAGAGACTCTCTGTCCTCAGCTGTGCCAGACATTACAGTTAACTTTACTGTCATCAGCAAAGATGTTGATTCCACTTGTCAGGACTTCTGGGAGGTCGTTCATGAAAACTACTAACAGGACTGGCCCTAGAATACTTCCTTGGGGTATACCACTCCTCACCTCGGCCCAAGAAGAGTACTCTCCATTCAGCACTAGTTAGTCTCTTTGTCGCCTGAGTGACAAGAAATCCTTAACCCAAGACCAGAGTTTTCCTGTAACTCCATAAGACTGCAACTTGTGGAGGAGGCGCTTATGCGGAACGCTGTCAGCGGATAAACTGTAGTGTGCATGTGAAAATCCTGTATTGCCGTTTTCAAAATTTTGCAGTTGTATTCCACATGTAGTTTCATTTGAAGCGGGTTAAGAGTTTTCATCCTGTATGATTACAAAGCCTAATATCAACATGTCATTACCTCCATGAAATGTGTCATGGAGGTTATATTTTCAGTTGCGTTTATCTGTCCGTCCGTCCGTCCGTCCGTCCGTCTGTCTGTTGGTCAACAAGATAACTCAAGAACGCCTGGATGGATGGGTTTCATACTTGGTGTGTTGGTAGGGTGTGACGAAAACTGGAAATAATGAGATTTTGGTCCCCCTAGTGGCTTCCCTTGGTACTGCAGTGCAACTTCCGGTTTTGATATCTCGCGATCTGGACATGCTAGGGTCATGAAATTTTGATGGAAGGTAGCTCTCGTGCTTGGGAAGAAGTCATATGAGTTTGGGCCCCCTAGCGGCTTGTTCTGGAACTGCAGGGCACCTTCTGGCGAAATGTTTAAAAGCCAATAAGTCCAGACAGGAACAACATATTTTCATTATTTTTGTTGTGTAGGTAGCTGAGAGAGAGATGTACATAATTAAATGTAAATTATGCAAATGAGGACTTTATTTGCATAATTAATGAGGAAATTCTATAATTACAGTGTTTTACATTATACTATGTAACCTATGGCAGGCGGAACTTCAACAGATACTAATTATGCAAATGATGACCTAATTTGCATAATTAATGTGAAAATTCTATGATTTCGTAATGGTGAATGATGAGAATGTCATACTTGGGACATCTGTAAGTTAATCAAAAGTTAACATACATCACGATGCATATATCATGTTAATGCAGAGGTCATTTGAACAATTAAAGAAGAAATTTAC